AGAGGAGTGATAGTGTAACCGTTTTCGGCAGAACGCTTGTCGAGGGATTGACTTCACTTGTCTCTTTGATTAGTTTGTAGCTTGGTGCGGAGAATGGCAAAACTGACGGATGATGCCGACTACGATGCCGGCGAAACGTTTGAGAATGTATCAAGTCAATTGTCAGATGCTGGGAATCATGACAACTACTATGGCAAACGACTTCGGACTAGGTGCGTTCTACAAATTCGCCCTGACAACAAGACCAGGTTGCAACAACCAGGTCAGTCCACTTCTAAAAATAATTAGGGTATTTCATTGCCAGAGCCAATATAAATTTGTTTCAATAGAAGTCCCATCACCTAATATGGTATGAGGTAAGACCTGGCTTCACATCTATCCCGTCAACCAAGGGCACTTGTGGCACTATGGCGTAGTGCTGAATGTGTCGAGAATAAGCTTGAACTATCACAATTTGAGTTCAGGTTCGGCTGGCGATGCTGATGAGACGAGTTTAGAAGAAGTCGAAACTACAATCCACCAATACCTGGAAGGGAATACTTTTGGAAAGCCTGGCTAAGCGAAATTCACTCGAAGCCTAAGACCTACTCAACTTCTCGTCGTCAAATTTAACCAGCAACCATTCTTCACTTTAAACGGAACAGGGTGTATACATTTTATATGTTTGATCTACTGGTAGTCCCGAAAGCCTTGGTATAAAGGGAAAAGTTAAAGTTCTTTATTTTGCCAAAAGTCCGCATGACGCTATTCGAAGAAGGCCGCGAAAATTCGTCTTTAGCTGCGTTCTGATGAGAAGCAATCTAGTTTGGACGGAGTAGGAGAAGCCTGAGGGTACTTGAAGCAGCGGTATTGAGTAGTATTTTTAGTGGCTTTAAGGTTTCTTTATTTCAGTTACAATAATACGTAATTTATGCTCCGTTCTCTTTATTTGGCATTCCGATTGTTTTATGCCAAGTGATTACTTCAAATATTGTTTATATTTATAATGTAAGAGTAATCGAAGCTATTAACAGCTGGTGGTCTCGTAATCTCTAATAGGATGTTAGATGAGTAGGCTGCAGAATGCTACACAATTTCACTTAGCATTGCCTTCCGTCATATGACGAATGAAAGCTTAGCACCTTTTCACCGGAATCGAAGAAGATTGCCTTGAAAACAGCGTCAGCATGAATCTTTCAGTAAAGCCAATCGAAAGCTGGTCAAGAGGAATCCGCCGCGTCTTCTGGTGGAACCGGCCTTTGAATCTCTTCACCCAACACTTTCGCTCGAAATGGAAGTAAGCTCAACAATTATGAAACAGGAGAGTCCTCGAAACCCAACTTTTCTTCGTATATGTTAACTGCAGTTGCCAACCTGAAAGAGAATACCTTTTGGAAGGCAATGCTAAGTGAAATTGCGTAGCATTCTGCGGCCTACTCATCTATTATCCTATCACACCTTACGAGACCACGAGCTGTTAATAGCTTCGCCGTCGTCTTTTGATGGAACCGACCTTCAAATCTCTTCACCCAAC